CCCCTAAACCCCTAAACCCCTAAACCCCCAAATCCCTCAACCCCTATATCCCTCAACCCCTAAACCCCTAAATCCCTCAACCCCTAAATCCCTAAATCCCTAAACCCCTAAATCCCTAAACCCCTAAGCCCCTAAATCCCTAAACCCTAAACCCTAAACCCCAAACCCTGAACCCCTAAACCCTAAACCCCTAAAGCCCTAAATTCCGCTTAGCGGCCGCCAGGCGCTCTGGGCCGCTGAGTCCGCTCAGCGCTCCCAGGGCCCCGTCGCCGGGGGCGCCCTTGGCTGCTCGAGCCTCGGCGGCCTCCAAAAGCGGAGGGGGGTTTAGGGTTTAAGGTTAGGGTTGAGGGTTTAGGGTTTAGGGTTTAGGGTTTAAGGGGGGGGGGGTCCTTTTAAGGGGATCTATGAGGGTTCCTTTTTGAGGGTTGCTTTTTCGGGGATCTATGAGGGTTCCTTTTAAGGGGATCTATGAGGGTTCCTTTTAAGGATCTATGAGGGTTGCTTTTAAGGGGATCTATGAGGGTTGCTTTTAAGGGGATCTATGCGGGTTTTTAGGGTTTAGGGTTTGGGGTTTCAGGGCTTATAGGGTTTAGGGCTTGGGGTTTTAGGGCTTAGGGTTTTAGGGCTTAGGGTTTAGGGCTTGGGGTTTTAGGGCTTAGGGTTGATCGACGAGGGTTACTATAAGACTATTTCGGGCTCCTTTAAGAGTTCTCTAGAGGTTTCTGTGAGGGGTCCAGGGTTTCAGCGCAGGGCACTTAATGATTCGAACAGGGTTCCTATGAGGGATACGATACGGATAAACATATAGAGGCCTCTACAAGTAGAACGGGGCCCTGGAGGGTATATTATAGTAGACGAAAACAGAAGGAAAAATATTGTTGATCATTCAAGCTTCAGAGTTCCTTGTCAGGAGTTCATGGATTATTATTATTGTTATTATTATTATTGTTATTATTATTATTGTTATTATTATTATTGTTATTATTATGGTTCAAGATTTAGGGCTTAGATTTTCGTTTGGTTTTCTGATTAGTCTGGGGTTTGGCATCCTGAGCCCCTCATACCACCTGCACTTAGGGGCTGAGTACCCTAGCCCAAAAAAAGGTTAGCCTTTACATTATAGTAGGATTATATGGGTAGTTGTCAAAATTGTGGTCCCTTTTGGGGTACCCTAAATAATAGGTGCCGTATTATAATAAGGACCCAAAAAGGGACCATAATATTGACGACCACCCATATAAGCCCTAGAAAGTTAAAGGTTACCTGCTCGGCCCCCAAGTACACAAATCTGACTGCCTCCTTCTTGGCTTCGGCTTCGAAGTCCTTGAGGAAGCTGGGCACTTGCGGGTAGGCGCTCCTTTCAACGGATACGCGGCGAGGCGTAGAGTTAGGATGACTTCGTAACGCGTGCGAGCGTCTTCAGATACTTGCCCCAACGCACCGGCACGGCACCAACCAAGAGGTTGGAGCTGCTGAGGATACCTCATGCCACAGCGACTGAAACAAAAGACAACATGAGGGAACAAAGCGTGGAAGAAGAAACCGTCGAGATGAAGGCGTGAACCCTTGAACCGCCCAAAAGGCCCGAATGGGACAACGAAGATCAAACAGATCCGGCTTGACTTGGGCCAGGAGGCTGCTCATGATGGCGAGCCCTTGGGCATTGGTCAACGCACCGACACCTCGCTTCGCAGGTTCTTCTGAGCATAGGCACACGGGTCCCCTGCTAGGGTCGGCTTTTAGGCTCTCTATGCAGCGAAGAGGCCCATGGACTTGGCGCGTCCGAGCGTGTTTGCCTGCACCGCCATGCCCACCTCGGCCCAGGGTCCCCACTGGACCGACCGGGCATTTCGCCAGAGGACGTCGCCTCCATCCGGGTCCTTGCATTGCGTGATGACCCTCCGACCGTTCCTTCGACTTGCGTGGACACTAGCACTGTCCTGCGAACTCCAGAAGGGAGCCAAGGAGTCAAGCACCGAATTTGAGGCCGAATAGTTTGCCTGGCCTGGCACAAGTCAGAGCTCTCACAAGCATCACACAGACTTGTATGGGTAGGCCGGTTGACAGCACAGAGAAGGCCGAGAATATTAGGACTCAGACCTGGTGATCCGAAGAGTGCCGAGGTTGAGGAGAACAGCAAGTGAGGCGCCGCTCTGTGGAAATCCAGGATGCGGCATAAGTTGAAGAGGCCATGCACCTCGAGATCATCAGCCAAGCTTGCCTTCAGATCTTTTGTTCGTCTTAGGTTGTTGTGATTTGCCCACCTTGGGACCATAGGATCTATCCAAGCTCTCGCGGTTGAGACTTGGCAGGACCCCATCTGCCAGCACCCCAGCAAGGTGCAGGAGACCTCCCAGAGTGCTTCCTGGCAGGGCGAAATAAAGAACATGAGGCAAAGCAAGATACACCACCTTACTTGCACATCTCGGACATCAGGTCTAGTGCGATGGCATACTGCATGTAAGATGATACGGCAACCCAAAAAAGGGCAAGAGCAACAACGACAACGACACCGGTAGTAAGATCGAAAAACTGTAGGAGGAATGCGTAGAAAATTGACAAAAAAGCACGCATGTTCAAGACTGCTGCAGGTTCAAGAAGAAAAAAGCCGACAGCACGAGCCCTCCTGCCAGCGCATCACGCAAGGCCGTCACGGACTCCTTCTTTCCTGCTGTATGGCAGTGGAGGGAAGTAGAACGGTAGACCGGGCAGGTTACTTGCGCCACTGGAGGGGGCTTGGGGCTGGGGTCTGTGCGACGAGGATACCCTTGTGTAGGGTCTATGAAACAGGAATACCCTGATTAGGAAGCTCCCATCCAACATCACACTGCAGCAGAGTCTCCAGCGTCACATTTCTCGATGCGGAGCTGCACAGCAGATTTCTGGAGCCAAGACCACTGAGGTCCAACATCCTGTAGGAGAGAAGTTGTTTGAATTCACTGCAGTTCTGCACTGTGCGCACAAGCTTGGCTTCTCAGAAATCGCGGTGTCTTCGTTACTAGCCTCTGTTCTCTCATTATGCTGTTAGTACCAGCAGCATTTGTCTGGTCTGGTAGCGGGCACTGCAATAGCACTCGTCATGTCATCGTAGCATTAGTGGCTGTGGCTGTCACCTTAAACACTAAACCGTTAAGCCCCAGTGGTGGTGGTGGTGGTGGTGGTGGTGGTGGTGGTGGTGGTGGTAGTGGTGGTGGTGGTGGTGGTGGTGGTGGTGGTGGTCGTGGTGGTCGTGGTGTGGTGGTGGTGGTGGTGGTGGTG